AGAGCTAGCAGATTTTTCGAATGAAACGTTTTATCATCGCAAAAATATTATATACATATATTGATACATAGAAGATGTATAGGATAATCTCACTATTTCGAGATTGAACATATCCGTCCTATATTTATTTAATTTCCCTCATTCAATTTCATGAATTAATCTTGCTGCTGAATATGGAAAAAAACTGCATTACCACAAACGCTTATCGTCACCTTGCGATAACGTGACATAGCCTGACTAGTTCAACTAAATCAAAAAAACTTTGTGTAGAAAGCTCGGTATAGATCCGAACAAATTCCAAAAAATTAACTGCTACGCTCAATTAAACTATTTGTTTTATAATTAATTTATCTCATATATATAAATATTATTTAAATATTTTTTAAAAATTGCGTTGTGTAAAAATTGCATAAGCAAAATTTTTCCATTCATTATGTTTATCTTGTTTCTTATCATAACGCTACGACGTAAATTAAATATAATTATTGGCAACATAGATATCGCTTAAATTTAGCTTAATTGTTTTGTAAGAAACAAACAGAAATTGATGGCTGTGTGCCGGTCGTGTATAATTGAAATTTTCTTCCTGCAGCGGATGAGGGGCCAAAATGCGTGATAGAATTAAAGTACACTGAAACCATGATTGCATTAGGAGAATTATTGACTAGTCACGTGAATAAAATCAATTAGTTATAGTGTATTGTATAAAATTGTAATTTGAATTTACATAACACTCGTTTCTCACTCTATATATAACGCTATATATAACGCTAAGTGAACGGTGAAACACGTTGCTGAAATATAAATTCGAAAGACGGTAGACTAAATTTGCTGTACGTTAGTCATGTTTATTCACGTGGCTCGGTCATTATATCGTCTAGAGTTCTCTTTAAATTAATACTGGCCTTTCCTTATACAATACGCGCGATAATATAATCTCAATGGAAAAAAGAGAAAGGTAGAAAAGACATTCTCATAAGCATGTTATTATGCTTGATATGAGATATTTTCCAAACATGTTGGTATAAGCGAATAATCGAATAGTTCGACAAAACGAACGAGAATTTCGTGATACCGCTTAGAAATGACAAAATGTTTTAACAATACTTGACCAATACTATTAACTTCTAAGCTAACGGTACATATGTGAATTCCTTCTTTTCTTAAGTCTCCCTTTATTTCCCTTGAATTAGTACGTCTTTATGCTATTTATAATCTTGTTCTAGATTATTGTAAATCTCTCAGTGAACGATGCGTTCGCGCTATTATATCGATACTAATCGTTTCTAAATGTATCACGCGAATTATAATGATTGTACATTTCCGCTTTATTTTCTAGCACAATTTAATACAAGAGTGTGTACATAACTTCAGCACCATGTCCATTCGATGTGATGTAATGAAATGTAAACGCGTAACGAAAGATATATTAATATATTACACAAGAATACGTCACGTGTATGATTAGCATTGTATTCTGTACGTAATTCTACAAAGAAATAAAAATATTCGATTACTTAAATGCTATCGATTTAATTTGAGTAGTGAATAATATATAAGGGAGTATGCTAAAATAATTTTCAATTATATCATTATAATTTATTTATAATTGGATACAGACAGATCTTCTACAAGTAATTCATATAATAAAACATCTTTTTACTTAATAATATTATTAAATTATTATATTCTTATTAATTATTATATTTATATTCTTTTCAATTTAATTTTCACACATTACCTTTTTTCTTTTTTTATTTTATTATTTATTTATTTCGAGAATTCAACAGAAAATAAATTTTTTTGTTTTATTTATCTCATGAAGGAAACATGACTGTTGAAAATCTTTCAAAAAGTTTTATTTTAAACATAAGATGTCCGCGTTATTTCATCGTGGATCGTTTAACATTCTTAGAAGTGAATACAGCATCGTGTATTCTCGCAATAATTTCCGATATCTGAAACAGATAAAATATTATGCAATTTAAGCGTGATCTTTTAAAAATATTCTAAAATCTCTTCTCTTTAAAAGAGAATGCGAGTTATAAAATAAATTGTATAGCGACAGAAGTAAAAATATTTTTACCTGTAATTAAAATAATACGATATTTATATTAATCGTCATTTATTATTATTTGAATATAGTATTTGAATATTATGATTATTCCGCTATGTTCTTTTTTTGTATTTTGATATCATATAATTTGATATATTTGTATATATAAATATATACAAAAATATATTAACATCAACTACATTTTTTCAATAGTTACCTGTACATGCTCCGGCGCACTCAGAACATGGATTATTATATCGGCAACATCCTTGGACTCCAAAACTGAGAAATGGCCGCTCAAAAATGGCGTCAGTTAAATTGAAAGCCTCCGTTATCATAGGTGTTCTTACTGCTCCGGGACTAACGTTCTATTCACGAAAGCATTATTGAATTTCAAAATATGACATATAACTTTATTTTTCCGATTCACCAATATAAATCTGATAATTATTACTAAACTAAAATCGTTATTATTATTATTATTATTATTATTATTATTATTATTATTATTATTATTATAATGTAATATCTATTATAATATTAAAAGAAATACTACTAATACATACATTATTAACTCAAATTAAATCAACATTACACAAACTTAATTTACTTTTTATATTTCTTGGTTGACTAATATTGTTTTTCGCATATTATACATATATAAAACAAAAATTTAATGTACAAAATTTATATTGTATTCAATTCGTTGTAAAAACATAATATAAATATCTTTATTGATAAAATATTCAATATATTTTATTAAGCTTAATGTAATTAATGCATTGAGTATCTTGCGATTGAAACCGCTAGTGTGTATATGCATGTTTTTATGTCAATTTGTATACAACAATTTTTAAGATGCACTAGTGCGTATTAATGCATCTTAAACCAACCGAATTCGCTATTACATTATTACGTACCGTAACTTTTACATCAAGATTTTCGATTTTTATTTCATTTCGTAGACTTACAGCCATCCCAGTAATAGCATATTTACTGGCGCAATATAAACTCGCTGGTAAAGTGATGATTTCTGCATTATGTCCTGCTATACTGTGAATGAAATAAAAATATAAAAGTACAATACAAGTACAACATATATATTTGACTATTTTTAAGAATTATCAAATATATTCATTACGAATGTGTTTAATTTAATAAAATTATATAAAAAAGAAAAATAAGAAAGAAAAATTGCATTATTACACTGTATAATTTGTGTTATATTATTTATTGCATCTCGATTTAGATCTTTTTTGTCTTAATAAAATATAAAATAATTTTAAAAAATAAATATAATACTGTATTAGCTGTATGTCTTCTAAATTATTAAAATATAAGAGATGTTTTAGATAGTAGTTTTATAGTTTTAAGAAGGATGATAACTTTGGCTTAAAATATTAGGCATCTATATTTTCTTTAATTATCTGAAATTCTTTTACCTGTATTTTGTTTCATTTGTCGTAAATTATTATTATAATTACGAATTAATATTATTCTTTATGTCAAGAACCCTTTATACTTATATAATCTCGATAACCAATAGGAAACACAATATAGATATAAATATTATATAATACATTCCAAATAAATGAAATAAAATCTAGATGCCTAATACCTTCGATTAAATACTATATGATGTTATTAGTTTGACATTGAATAACCGTTCGGGACTATGATAATATTGATATTTGGGATAATATTATCAAATATTTTTTTTAATGGCATGATATAATATATATCATGCCAATAACATGATATTTTTACATTATATAATTTATTATCTTGTAATTATTCTGATATAAAAGTATTAAGATAAATTATCAAAAAATTATCAAAAAATCAAGATAGATTACGAGATATTTTACATAATGTTCAACATAATGTTCTAATGATTATTCTAATTGCATTTATTTCCATATATCTGATACCTACCTGTTGATATTAATTATGTGACCCGCTGTTTTTCGCTTTTTAACAGATTGTACTAATTCTCGCGAACAAATAGCTGTCGCAATCACATTCACATCCATAATTTGCCGATATGTCTCTGTTGATCCCGCTTTCAACAGAAAATATTAAATAATAATATAAAATATTAAATAATAATAGCTCGTTTATGTAAAATCAGTTTTACCATTTGACATTATAGAAATGTTAAAAGAGAAACAATTTAATCTTATAGAGATTTTCAACATTTCATAGACTTAAATGCTGCTGATGTTTGAAAAATTTTTAATTATATCGCATCGAAAAAGAAAGAAAAGGAAGAAGTAGATCACAATTTACCTATAATCGTTTCGGGCGAAACCACACCGGCGTTGTTAATCATTACATCAATACCGTCCAATTTTTCTTCCGCCCATTTGAATATTTTAAGAATATCTTCTTCCTGCCGGACGTCGCATTGCATTGGATATATTTCAGCATTAAACTCGCGTTTAATACTCGCTGCTAATTCTTCCAGCTTTTCTAATCTTCTCGCTGCAATGATCACTTTCATTCCATTTTTCGCAAGCGCTCTCGCAATCTCTACACCTATTCCAGTACTTGCTCCAGTGACTAACGTGACTTTTCCTACCCAACGATCCATCACGGCAAAAGTTTTTCGCGGAACTGCGTGAAACTGTGCCGAAATTACTAAATTACTCTGGCCTTCCAGTTAATTCCGCTTACCCTCACCAACGACTTGTTAACCGACAGTACCAATCAAATGTAGTCATATCAACTATGGAAGGGGAAATAGGCCAATTACAGCATATCGAGAAAATTTACAAAGAGAAGTTGTTTCGTAATTCACACACGGAAAGAACACTTTTGTGGGCAAATCTAAAAATTTAGCTAGATACAGATCTGAAAACGATTTTGTTGAGCCTTCAAAATTATTATATACGATATTCAAATTGATTGAAGATCAAACATTTTTGCAGTATTATCATATATTTAAGTGTTCTACAAAATAATTTTGATGGGCTAACAAAATTATTTTCAGATCTGCATCTGGTCAAATTTTTAGATTTGTCAGCAAAAGTGTTCTTTCCGTGCATGCACGTATCTTATCTTGTTAATATGTCTATGCACGTATCTTATCTTGTTAATATATCTTATCTGTCAGTTTATAAATCTTGATTAATCATTTTAGATTAAGAGATCTTTCTGATCTCTTTTGATTCAGATTCTGATCATTGATTTCGCTTGTTATATGCATTAGAGAAAGACAGAGAGAAAGAGAGAGAGAGAGAGAGAGAGAGAGAGAGAGATTATCTATTGTCATATTAAATGAATATTTTGTATAGTTATAAAATATTTGCGTATTTTATCGCAATTTAAGCGTATTAGAGCTATTGCAAATATTTACAAAAATAATATATAATATATAATATTGATAAAAAATATTTATAAAAGATCTAAATCAAAAGTCTACATTGTTTCAATTTCTTTAATATTTTGTTTATTCATATATTTTATATTGTTTTGCATTATAAATAAAATATTATTTTAGTTTAATTATGCTATTATTTTAATTGCATATTCTAATAGATACCGCACATCTAATCTAACATTTTGCATTTTAATAGCTATAAATAATTATATAATGTTTATTCAACAAATATGCTTTAAATTAATTTTCACATTTAATTATAAATTATGATGTGTCTCATTATCGTCTACTAGTACTAATAACTTATTTTTAATCATAATTTTTAAATATAGAGAAAACAAATTTTATCCTATAACAAATTATTAGTTACTTTATATTTATTACAATCTTTCAATAGTCGCGAACTTTTATTTTTTTTTCTTAACGACTTTAATTTTTATCTTAATTTTTATTTATTTTTTTTATTTATACTATTTTATTAAAGAATAAAACTAAAATTCTTTCTGTCTACATATTTAGTTGATTCATAAAAATAAACAAATGATCATATAATTAACATCTCAAATTACTTCTTTTGGACTCTCAGAAGATTCTTTCAAAGTTATTATTTGTTTTACTATTTATCATTTAAACTAATGGTCAGGCAATATATATTTTGTAAATTAAAATTTCAAATGTGAAATCGAGAGATTTCACACGGTCAAGGCTCGTCACCAAGCGCCAGCGCTTCACGAGCTCGAGTTCGGCCGTGTTTCTTTACGCGAGACGACAAATTGCTAACCAAGATTATCGGATCTTAGTAACGGCTGAACCGATCAAAATTTCTAAATAGGCGCAATCGATAGTTTAAGTTCGAATTATATAATAAAAATGTTTTGATGTTTCCTCTCCGTGTCGTATGAGCGGAGATATTACGATCCAAAGTCCGATTTCTAGAAGTTTATTTTTAAGAAACGTCGTCATTATTGTCATTATTAAGTTCAAATTATATAATAAAAGTGTTTTTATATTTTCTCCCCGTGTCGTATGAGCAGAAATATTACGATCCAAAGTCCGATTTCTAAAAGTTTATTTTTAAGAAACGTCGTCGTTATCGTCATTATTTATCATCATATGTGCGAATCTTAATGCGACCTGGGCGCGCCAAATTTTTGTATGTCTGTTTGATTTTAAGATCGCTCTATTTAAAATATACAGCAGAATGCGTGACAGAATAGTACAATTATATATATCGTGCAATATTGAAACTGTTTTGGAATTTTAGTTACTTATTAGTTAGAAAAATATATGTTTAATGAAACGTTATTATAATGAACGTTATTATTAATATCAAATCTTTTATAGTATATAATTATTAGGTCCTATTATTTTAAACTTTGAAATGCTATCACTTGGGTTTTATTTTTTAAGAATAGTTGTAAATAATTTACATAACTTGGTGCCAATTATTAATATTAAATCTTTTATAAACGTGATATACACGGTATCATTTAAGTAATATATCACTTAGATTGAATAAATTTTATTTAAATTGAGTCAGATAATGCAATTTCATGATATCAACATTTTTTAAAAAAAATTAGAATTACTATTTTAGAATAAGAAGACTTTAATGAGAAATATAAAGATACGTATCATATGGATTTTATTCTTTAATTTTATTCTTTATTCTTTAAAAGCAGTTGTATATTGAACTTTCGAAATAATAACTATAACTATAACTTGGCTTCTTTGATATCAAATCTTTCATCCTATTTTTTGTATGAAAGATTTGATATCAAAGAAGTTGATTTGATATCAACTGATACACATTATTAGAGGTGAATATTATATATTATTTGAACATCAGTAAGATTACATAATTTTGTAATATAATATTTGGAATATAATATTTTATTGAAATAAAAAAATTTCTTAGATGCAAAGATATGTTGAGTTCTATTTTTATTTTTTTAAGACGATATAACTAGCGCCAGTAATTGATAATAAAATTTTAAAAGAGAATGAAATAAAATAACTGCTTTCACTTGGAGAAAGGAAAAGTTTTTATACTTATCATTTGAGTTTAATTTTTTTAAAGCAAATATATATTGAACTTTTGAGATAATGTAACCTTGGCGGCACTTTTTTGATATCAAATCTTTTATACA